AGCCCTCCGGCCCTCCCCACCACTCACTCACTCAGCAACAGCCTGCCCCACTACCTGACAGTCAGCAGCATGTCACAGTGAATTGTATATTTATTAAGAGAAATGCCATGGCGGCCGCAGTGCAACTTAGAAATAGCCCAAAAACCCGTAACCAATACATTTTCACCTGCGACATCATTTTTAAAGTAGCCCAATTTGGCAACACTGAGCGCTACACACACACACACACCCACACCCACACACACACACAGCAGCTGCCTCTGTTCAAGTTTCTTCTTCTTTGATATCATGGCGTTTGCACATTTTGTTTGTGCATGCCGCCATCTACTGTGTGTTCAATCACATTACATACACAAAAGGGGAAAAGGAAAAAATTGTTCCACCAACTAACACTACACCTATATACCACTATTAAAAATAAACGAATAACCATCCCGTTCCAATACTTTGACCCTAACTGATACTACACCAGGCCCACTTTGTTCAACACACCTTTTCTGCAGTAAAACCTCACCCAAGTACTTCTCTGCAGCTGCCACCACAACATCTATTTTCTGTGATTTACGTTCAATTTCTGCGGTACAGTTGATAACCAAGGCAATGAAATCTAAAAAGCCAACCTTACTGAAGCACAAATTCGTATCACTCTGTATTGGCATAGGCCTACCACACACCCTTGACCCATCATCCTCTACTCTCTTCACTGCTTCAGCATATGACACCTTCTGTTCTACTTTGACCCTGGCAATCTCAACCTCTCTCTCTCACACTGGACACTTCTGATCCCCAGCAATATGGGCACACCCACAATTTACACTGTTTTTTTCACCGATACTAAACATTCCTTTGTCCCATGCCCTTCTGCACACTTCTCACATCTCTGAATCTCCCTCCTACACACTGCTGCAAAATGACCATAAGCTTGGCATCTGAAACACCTTAGTGGGTTCTGCACAAAAGCTCTCACTGGATAACTGACATATCCTAACATGACTTTATCAGGTAAAGACTCTGCTTCAAAACTCAAAAGGACAGACAATGTCTTCTCAGTTTCACCACTGGGTCAGCGTCGCACCAAATGGCGGGCATCACAGACACAGCGTATTTTCAATTTCAGTTGCTCCACCTCAACACTTAACGCCACCCCAGTAATCACTCCTTTCAAAGGCACCTAGCTCCGGAGAGCAAAGCAAGTCACAGATCTTGTGCCTCTGTTCATCTCTCCCGTGCCGGTCCTATAAGCCAACCTTTCAGAAGCTTTGCCTTCACACAGCCTGTCTGCACGCTCTGAGGCGTCCACATGGTCCTAAAGCACACCAATGCCCCTTTTTGTATCACAGTACAATGATAAAACTGGGGGGGGGGGGGTAAAAATGCAATTTCAGAATGTTGGGTTCATTTCCCCAGTGAAAGTTGCGCCCCTGTAGCAGAGGAAGGAGTTTGCTTCTGCTGCAGTGTTTGTGGTCAAATCTGATGCGTTGTGGCAATGCTTCGCCTGTCAACATATCTATAACAACTGACATACCAAACAGATGTCTTTAGCAATATGTTCAAATTCACAAAATACTCACAATGTTTGAGTGACCCTGACTAAACTCGTTCCAGCAAATAAAAGGAAGATGACTCATCCCAGAAGAACCCAGGTCACTTTGCGGTTCCTTTCATCTGTGTGTGAGTGAATGAGTGAGTGAGTGAGTGAGTGAGTGAGTGAGTGAGTGAGTGAGTGAGTGAGTGAGTGAGTGAGTGAGTGATTGAGTGAGTGAGTGAGTGAGTGAGTGAGTGACTGAGAGAGAAGAGAGAGTGAGAGTAAAGGAGGAAGCTAACGATAGATGAGTAGTCTAACACAGTCTTGTGGCTCACAGTCATGTATGCACACATGACTGTTAGTCGCTTTGGATAAAAGCGTCTTCTAAATGGCATATTATTATTCTTATTATGACCCGGGTACAAACGCAGTCTTCCACATGAGCATACAGATACAGTGCCTTCAGAAAGTATTCATACCCCTTGACTTATTCCACATTTTGTTTTGTTACAGCCTGAATTCAACATGGATTAAATATTATTATTTTTTCACCAATCTACACACAATACCCCATAATGAAAAAGTTAAAAAATGTTTTTAGAAATGTTTGCAAATGTATTAAAAATTAAATACAGAAATATCTCATTTACATGATTATTCACACCCCCGTGTCAATACTTTGTAGAAGCACCTTTGGCAGCAATGACAGCTGTGAGTCTTTCTGGGTAAGTCTCTAAGAGCTTTCCACACCTGGATTGTGCAACATTTTTCCAATATTATTTTCAAAATGTTTCAAGCTCTGTCAAAATAGTTGTTGATCATTGCTAGACAACCATTTTCATGTCTTGCCATAGATTTTCAAGTAGATTTAGGTAAAACTGTAACTCGGCCAGTCAGGAACATTCACAGTCTTCTTGGTAAGCAACTCCAGTGTAGATTTGGCCTTGTGTTTTAGGTTATTGTCCTGCTGAAAGGTAAAATAAGCTCCCAGTGTCTGGTGGAAAGCAGAAGAATGTGAATGTGTAATACTGATGATGAATTTGAAAAACAAGCCACCACCTTATGTGATCGGTTTGCCTCTAAGGGTTAAGAAGTTGTTGGATAATTGTGTTTCTAAAGTATGTAATGTGACATGGGACAGCTTATTGACCCCTGCCCCTCCTAATGATCAACCTACTGTATTTGTGTCTACTTATTCCCCTATCTCTCAGGCTTTCCAAAATGTAGCCTACATTTGGTGTATTACTTTCCTGCAAGAAATGTGCAGAAAGGAGTTTGCCTAATATTAAGGCTATGTGAGAGGTTATAGACATTGAAAGTGTCAAGATTTCATTTTCCATTTAACCCATCTGAACAGTAGGCTACAGTTCCCTTGACATGCCATAGGCCTATTTGAAGTCCCCGTTTTGTGACTGCCTAATTTGTATAGCACCTCACAATCATCACACATAACATAGCTAGCACTGCTATCATTCTCTTTTACCACTTCACCAAATCTTTCCCAAACCTTACTTTTCTGGCCCTCCCTTCTCTTTATTTTCAACTTTCCATTTCACAGTTTTTTTCTTGTTGAATTAAACTCCTACATTGTCCTTTTTGCCTCAGTGGATCGACGTTAACTTTTTCTGCCCATTCCCAAAAGCGATTGGCTGTAGGCTGTTTGTCCATTATACTCAGGAGCACCTCTTGGTTCCAAATCCACAGAGTTTCCTACCCAAGGAGTGTCGTTGCTCATTCTGCGGCCCTTAAAGAGTGGGCAATCAGCTTAAATCCAATCCGTTTTTCATATTAAACATAGGCCTACATATTGCACCGTAGATACTGTAATTTCCTGTACATTGGGTGGCAGTAAAAGGGGGGGTCCTTTATACTCAGGAGCACTTCTAGTTTCCAAATCTACAGAGTTTACACCCAGAGGAGCATAGCTGTTGATTTTGCTGCCCTTAAAGAGTGGCCAATACAATAAGCTTAAATACAATCATATTTTCATATTAGACATACAGTACATATTGCAGATTATAAAATGTTCTGTACGTTGTGTCACAGTAAAAGTGGGATCCATTCTACTCAAGAGCACTTCTAGTTTTCAAATCCACAGTTTACACCCCAAGGAGCATTGCTGCTCATTCTGTGACCCTTTAAGAGTGGCCAGTCAGTTGAAATACAGTACGTTTTTCATATTGGACATACATATTGCAACATACACAATTATCTGTACAAAACAGATTAGTTTGAACAAAAAGCTAGGTCATAGGAAGAGTGGCCAGTCAGCTGAAATGCAGTACGTTTTTCATTTTGGACATTCATATTGCAACATACACAATTATCTGTACAAAGCAGATTAGTTTGAACAAAAAGCTAGGTCATAGGAAGTGTTGCTGTACATCTACTATGGTCAAACAACTTAAGGTGTGGTGCCTGGACACTATATGGCACTGTACAGGATTGTTTGTGTCCATAAAACCAGGGTCTAGTCTGCACTTTTGTACTGTCGCTTTAACTCTCTGATGACTTACTAATTCAGGACTATATCTTTATTACGAAACAATAAATTAACTATTTTAGCTTATGCTTTGTTCGCTTCCAGTGAGAACTCAAATGCCAATCTATGCCAGACTTGCCCTATAATGGAGGTGACAAATTCTGACTATTAGCAGGTGATTAGGTGCGAAGCTTAAGAGAAACAAAGGTAACAATGTGATCAGATCGAGTGTTAACTGACTGGCATACCTGTAAATGACCTACATTATCCTAATGATGAGAATGCTGCAGCCTTTATTAATTTAAATGTGCCAGCCTTACGTGCCAAAACGTGCGTCAGGTCAAGTGTTTTGGCAAGACAAATAAAATATTTTTTGAGGCAGTATCCTAGTAAGATCATGTTGCTACAGGTTAGTATCACCCCATCATCAAATATTTATTTAAATGACGTGGAAACAATGTTGAATCACAACCTGATTCAACCAGTTTATGCCCAGTGGGCTCACTCAGCCCATGAGATGAATAAGATCTTGCATATAATTTGAATCGTGATATTTGTTATGAATAAAGTATGTTTTTTAAAAAACCAAATTGCATCTTCAAACATATTGTTTGTTTGTTTGTAGAATGAGCAGCGACGCTCCTCGGAGTGTAAACGCTGTGGATTTGGAACCTACAAATGTTCCTGAGTAGAATCGACTCCACTTTTACTGCGACACAACGTACGGTGCAATAAATGACAGGAGTACACACATAAAAAACAAACATTGTTGAACATTTAGGCTTGAAAAAATAAGAAATAAACAAACCATAGAAATAGCTATTTTCAAGTATTCTTTGTATTATAACTAGTATACCGTATATAGATAATTGTCCACATTTTCCATCATTTCCGCCTTATTATTCATTTACTAAGCATACAGGAAGGGAATCTTGTTTCCAAAAATCCGTGACCCGGAAGTACTTCGTTGTTCTTGCCTGTTTCACAGCGGTTGATTTGTTTTTGTTCATGTTGCAGCTTGGCAGGAACAGAGCGCTAGATCGTAGAACCAAGGTCCACCCTATAGCTCAGTGGGTCAACCACAGCAATTTGTCTTAGGAGAAATCCTTCTGACTCGCTGCCAAATATACTGCTAGAAAACTCCTCCTCTGTATGTTTTATCGCAACCCTTTTGACCAGCCCCCGCGATTCGCTCCTACTGAGTCCAAAAGCGAACGTTAGCTACCAAGCTAACCAAACTGCCAGTTTCACCCATGTCCTATGAGGAAGGGTTCAGTTCAACGATCACGGATTGGCTTTTCTTCAATTCCTGGTGGCTCCTTTTGCCTTTGATCATGCTTCTAGTCGTTGTTGCATTCATCGTTGCCTTCGTGTTGCTGTTGTATATGATATCCCCTTTGATTAGCCCAAAACCTCTCAAATTAAATGGGGCCCACGTCGTGGTAAGTGCCCATTGTTGTAACCATTGGACGGTAGGGTGAAGATATTTAATAAGAAACGGCGCGTGAACGCAACAGATAGCTCATCTAGCCTACGACACGCCTAAAATGAATTGACAGCTAGTAACAACTCCGTTTTCTAGTTAGATGTGAAAACTCTAGTATTGCAATACTGGCATCTGTGGTTTGCTTCTGTAGGTAGTCAAAGCTAGTCAAAAATACTACATTTTCTCATTGTCTTATGTACAGCCAACATGGACATTTGTGTAGAAGAAACACATGTACTAACTTGCAAAAGCCACATTATAATTAAGCAATAAGGCACGAGGGTATATGGCCTGCTAAGGGCTGTTCTTAAGCGCAACGCTGAGTGGCTGGATACAGCCCTTAGTCGTGGTATATTGGCCATTTACGACAAACCCCCAAATTGCCTTATTGCTATTATAAACTGCTTACCAACGTAATTAGAGCAGTAAAAATAAATGGTCTGTCATACCCGTGGTATACATTCTGATATACCACAGCTGTCAGCATTCAGGGCTCAAACCAGCCAGTTTATAATGACCTACACTACCGGTCAAAAGTTTTCGAACACCTACTAATTCAAGGGTTTTTCTTTATTTTTACTATTTTCTACATTGTATAATAATAGTGAAGACATCAAAACTATGCAATAACACATATGGAATCCTGTTGTAACCAAAAAAGTGTTAAACAAATCAAAATATATTTTATATTTGAGATTCTTCAAAGGAGCCACCCTTTGCCATGATGACAGCTTTGCGCGCTCTTGGCATTCTCTCAACCAGCTTCATGAGGTAGTCACCTGGAATGCATTTCAATTAACAGGTGTGCCTTGTTAAAAGTTAATTTGTGGAATTTCTTTCCTTAATGCGTTTGAGCCAATCAGTTGTGTTGTGACAAGGTGGTGGTGGTGGTGGTGGTGGTGGTGGTGGGGGTGGGGGGGGGGTATTTGGTAAAAGACCAAGTCCATATTATATAAAGAACAGCTCAAATAAGCAAAGAGAAATGACAGTCCATCATTACTTTAAGACATGAAGGTCAGTCAATCTGGACCATTTCAAGAACTTTGAACGTTTCTTCAAGTGCAGTCGCAAAAACCATCAAGCGCTATGATGAAACTGGCAAAGAAGAAGAGTGATGGAGTGCTGCATCAGATGACCTGGCCTCCACAATCACCCGACCTCAACCCATTTGAGATGATTTATGATGAGTTGGACCGCAGAGTGAAGGAAAAGCAGCCAACAACTGCTCAGCATATGTGGGAACTCCTTCAAGACTGTTGGAAAAGCATTCCAGGTGACTACCTCATGAAGCTGGTTGAGAGAATGCCAAGAGTGTGCAAAGCTGTCATCAAGGCAAAAGGTGGCTACTGTGAAGAATTTCAAATATAAAATATTTTTTTGGTTACTACATGATTCCATTCCATATGTGTTATTTCATAGTTTTGATGTCTTCACTAGTATTCTACAATGTAGAAAATAGTTTTAAAAAATAAAGAAAAACCCTTGAATGAGGTGTTCTAAAACTTTTGACAGGTAGTGTATATGTGTTGGACTTTGACCCCAGGGCATTGCCCCAGGGGCCCAGCCCTTGTATTTAACTTTAGATGGAATGTCCCTCCTCTCTCTCACCACCTCTCAACCTGCAGGTCACTGGAGGCTCCAGTGGAATAGGGAAAAGCATTGCTATGGAGTGCTACAGACAAGGAGCCTTCATCACACTAGTGGCAAGAGACGAAGTTAGCAGAAATACACAAAACATCAATGTCCTTGACTCTTTTGCCCTGTTCTTCACCCAGCCAGCACATTTATCAAGCCTTCTTTCTTTTTCATTAGAGTAAATTGGTTCAAGCGAAAAAAGAAGTAGAGAAATGTGCGATTAATGACAAGCAGGTATGTATTATGTAGCTACATGTTTTAGTACAACCTGGAAGAAGAAAGACAATGCTTTTTTGGGATGCAAGTAAATGATAAAATATTGACCCTGATGATCTCATTGGCAACTTCTTACATGAGCACTGACTGTTTTGGTATTGGTATTCCTCTTCCACTCAGGTTGTGCTCTGCATATCAGTTGACGTGTCCAAGGACTACAGACAGGTGGAAAGTGTGATTAAGCAGGTAAATCACAAGTGATAGGCAATGTTCCCTCTAAGCTGCGTGCAGCTCCCCCGGGACTGCCACACAGAGGAAATATCAGCCCCTGCAGAGAAGCACGAGATTGAACTTCACTCAACTTTCTAGTTTTCCCCTTTAGTTAACACTATCAACTTTACCCTCTAATGTGAGAATTGTGATCGAATCAACGCAATATTAGCCACTTTCAATGCAACATACCGAAACAAAACGAACTATGCAAGAGATTTTCTTGTGGACAGAGCGCATTGGAGTGGGATTCTATTGCGTTGACAGGCATATACTCTACCAGACCGGTGCGCCATAACCAGAGCTGCAGTATCCCTATATGCAAATAGACCATTGCCATATATGGATCTGTGTAATTTACTTTGAACTGGACTGTGTTCACAGCATGAGTGGTCGCGAGTAGATGCGCTTGTTTTGAGATCAAAGTGAGAGCTGCATGTAGCCACCTGTGCACATTTGTTCATGTTCTTTGCTAGTAAGTGAGTTATTAGCCCAGTTATAGCTAATTTCTAGTCAGCAATGGGGGAGTGGTTGCTTCCTACAAGAGCACAAAACATACCCATTTATAACCATCTTTGAAAAACAAGTCAGGTAAATAATTTGATTTTTGTCTTAAAGGGGTAGTGTTGTATTTTGAGATGCTTGAATAAGCTAAGTAGCCATTAGGCAGAGGGTAGCATAATTTGTCTGATTCTCTGTAATAGTGGTATGGGAATAATAATGCATTTTATTTTGTAAAGTGGTTTCTTGCATCAAACAACACAACATGTTCAGTCACCTCCTGGTCTGAAGGACAAGTGGATAAGCCCTGCATGTTTTTTTCTAAAAGTCCAATGGAATGTAGGCCTACATTGAACACCACACATTGGCTGCTACTGTAGGCTGAATGATAGAACAGATATTTTCATGTTAAAATGTTATGGGATGCATTTTCTCTATTGTTTTTTACTTGGCCACTGTTATAACCGTAACTTAAAGCGGGTTCAGCCTCAGTGTTCACAGTAAACACGTGCCAAAAGTTGCTCAGAATTTTCACTATTTTCAAGTTTGCGCTCAGCAGACCTGAAATTTGCTCAGTTACGAAAAGATTTGTGAACATTGGTGAATTTAACTTTTGTATAATGATTTGCAAAAGACATCAATATCATTTAATCCATTTAGTGTCAAGAGAAGCTTGGGCCGGTGGACATGCTGGTGAACTGTGCTGGGACGTCCTTCTCTGGGAAGTTTGAGGAGGTGGAGGTGGAGCGCTTCAGAGTAAGTAGGTAACTAGTAGGTAGGGGAGGCTACAGTAACTAACCAGGGGAATAGACAGACAGGGCTGGAAGGGTGAACATATAAACCCAACTCCTTACAGTATGTGCCCCAGAAAACCTTAATGTTGTGCCAAAACTAACTGAATAGGTAATGAGACAAGATTCCCAGAGTCAATGGGTTTGATGTACAGTGGGGAGAACAAGTATTTGATACACTGCCAATTTTGCAGGTTTTCCTACTTACAAAGCATGTAGAGGTCTGTCATTTTTATCATAGGTACACTTCAACTGTGAGAGACGGAATCACATTTTATGATTTTTAAGTAATTAATTTGCATTTTATTGCATGACATAAGTATTTGATCACCTACCAACCAGTAAGAATTCCGGCTCTCACAGACCTGTTAGTTTTTCTTTAAGAAGCCCTCCTGTTCTCCACTCATTACCTGTATTAACTGCACCTGTTTGAACTCGTTACCTGTATAAAAGACACCTGTCCACACAATCAAACAGACTCCAACCTCTCCACAATGGCCAAGACCAGACAGCTGTGGAAGGACATCAGGGTTACAATTGTAGACCGGGATGGGCTACAGGACAATATGCAAGCAACTTGGTGAGAAGGCAACAACTGTTGGCGCAATTATTAGAAAATGGAAGAAATTCAAGATGACGGTCAATCACCCTCGGTCTGGGGCTCCATGCAAGATCTCACCTCGTGGGGCATCAATGATCATGAGGAAGGTGAGGGATCAGCCCAGAACTACACGGCAGGACCTGGTCAATGACCTGAAGAGAGCTGGGACCACAGTCTCAAAGAAAACCATTAGTAACACACTACGCCGTCATGGATTAAAATCCTGCAGCGCACGCAAGGTCCCCCTGCTCAAGCCAGCGCATGTCCAGGCCCGTCTGAAGTTTGCCAATGACCATCTGGATGATCCAGAGGAGGAATGGGAGAAGGTCATGTGGTCTGATGAGACAAAAATAGAGCTTTTTGGTCTAAACTCCACTCGCCGTGTTTGGAGGAAGAAGAAGGATGAGTACAACCCCAAGAACAATCCCAACCGTGAAGCATGGAGGTGGAAACATCATTCTTTGGGGATGCTTTTCTGCAAAGGGGACAGGACGACTGCAGCGTATTGAGGGGAGGATGGATGGGGCCATGTATCGCGAGATCTTGGCCAACAACCTCCTTCCCTCAGTAAGAGCATTGAAGATGGGTCGTGGCTGGGTCTTCCAGCATGACAACGACCCGAAACACACAGCCAGGGCAACTAAGGAGTGGCTCCGTAAGAAGCATCTCAAGGTCCTGGAGTGGCCTAGCCAGTCTCCAGACCTGAACATCTTTGGAGGGAGCTGAAAGTCCGTATTGCCCAGTGACAGCCCCGAAACCTGAAGGATCTGGAGAAGGTCTGTATGGAGGAGTGGGCCAAAATCCCTGTTGCAGTGTGTGCAAACCTGGTCAAGACCTACAGGAAATGTATGATCTCTGTAATTGCAAACAAAGGTTTCTGTACCAAATATTAAGTTCTGCTTTTCTGATGTATCAAATACTTATGTCATGCAATAAAATGCAAATGTATTACCGTATTTTCCGCACTATAAGGCGCACTTAAAAGCCTTTAATTTTCTCAAAAAACGACAGTGCGCCTTATAATCCGGAGCGCCTTATATATGGATCAATTGGTTAATTGGTTGATCCATACTGGTTGTACACGGCGCTCAAGGCGCTCTGTCAAAATGTTTCAGTATGAAAAACCAATAAAAACAATTTAATAATAATGAAATGTTTCAGTACGACTGGTAAACTACAAAGCCGCACCGCTTGCAGCATTACGGCTACCGTAGTCAGTAAACACCGGTACTGTGCTTACTCACAGTCCCACACCACTTGTGTGTGTATAAAGACCCCAAAATGGCACCTTTCAAGAGACATGCTTATGACGCAGAGTTCAAGCTCAAGGCTGTCGGTCACGCAGTAGAATATGGGAATAGAGCAGCAGCGAGAGAATTCAACATTAATGAATCAATGGTACGGAAGTGGAGGAAGCAAGAAGATGACCTGCGCCAAGTAAAGAAGACTAAACAGAGTTTCCGAGGGAACAAAGCAAGATGGCCACAGTTAAAGGACAAACTCGAACAGTGGGTTGTTGAACAGAGAGCAGCAAGTAGAAGCGTCTCTACAGTCACTATTCGAATGAAGGCAACAGCACTAGCACGGGACATGATCATCGATGAATTTCGAGGCGGTCCTTCTTGGTGCTTTCGTTTTATGAAAAGACGTAATCTCTCCATCCGCACACGAACTACCGTCTCGCAGCAACTGCCAAAAGATTACCAAGAAAAGCTGGTCACTTTCCGCGCATACTGCAAAAAGAAGATCACTGAAAAGAAGATCCGGCCAGAGCACATCACCAACATGGACGTGGTTCCACTCACCTTTGATATTCCCGTGAACCGCACTGTGGAGAAAACGGGGACCAGTACGGTGTCTGTACGCACCACAGGGAATGAGAAGTCATCCTTCACTGTAGTTCTCGCCGTCATTCCGGGTGGATTAACTAAAGAACTCCAGCCGCTAGATATTGGTGTCAACAGGGCGTTCAAAGCTAGACTGCGAGCTGCGTGGGAGCAGTGGATGACAGAAGGCGAACACACATTCACCAAGACGGGGAGACAGCGCCGGGCGACTTACGCCACTATCTGCCAATGGATCGTGGATGCCTGGGCTGATATATCAGTCTCAACTGTGGTCCAAGCTTTCACGAAGGCAGGAATAATCTCTGAACTGCCAGGCAACAGCAGCGACACTGACTCGGATAATGACGAGAGGGAGCCGGGCAGGTTGGATGCCGTAGTAGCCCAACTGTTCAATTCGGACACTGAAGAAGAAGAATTCGAGGGATTCGTGGACGGGGAATGAACTGAAAAAGTGAGCTTTACGTGTTATACGTAACTGAACAATGTTGAGTTATGCACTAACGTTTGATTTAGTGGTATCAGACTGTTTCTTTTACTACGTGTTTACTGAATCAGGAAAAAGTTCCCCTCCACGTTTGGGAGAAGAGTGAGCAAGGCTGGGAGATATTGTTAATATGCACATTAACGTTTGAACAACGTTACCATGGGAGTGAACGGAGTTGTCAGAACGCTTAATAAAGTTTGACTTTATCTGACTGTTTTGTTGACATTCCCTTTAGCACAGCTCCATCTAGTGGATGCATAACGCAACCCCAGTCAAACGTTTGACTGCAGTATCTTCTATTCTATGCGCCTTATAATCAGGTGCGCCCTATATATGAAAACAGTTCTAAAATAGGCCATTCATTGAAGGTGCGCCTTATAATCTGGTGCGCCTTATAGTGCGGAAAGTACGGTACTTAAAAATCATACAATGTGATTTTCTGGATTTTTGTTTTAGATTCCGTCTCTCACAGTTGAAGTGTACCTATGATAAAAATGACAGACCTCTACATGCTTTGTAAGTAGGAAAACCTGCAAAATCAGCAGTGTATCAAATACTTGTTCTCCCCACTGTATGTCTGAAGGTGGAACCAAGGGTTCAGCTTTCAGTTTAAAGATGCAGCTAGCAAGCCATAAGGCTAGATGAGATTGCAGTCTAGGTCTGCAGCAGATTGGATTGCAATGGGAGAATGAGAGAGCGGTTTGATTCCAGGTTTAAAAGGTGGCAGGTTTCTTCGCTGTCTCACAGTCTAGGGATTGTTCAGATACCAAGATAATGACCGAAGGAAAATTAGATTGAATGTGTGTGTGTGCGCACATGTGTATGGACGCGAGTGTGTGTGCGTGAAGGGATTGTTCCGATACTAAGATAATGACCAAGGGTATGTGTGATTGTGTGTGTGTGTTCACCCCCACATCCTAATGTACTGTATACTGAACAAAAATATAAACGCAACATTTAAAGTGTTGGTCCCATGTTTCATGAGCTGAAATAAAAGATCTCAGAAATGTTCCAAACGCACAAAAAGCGTATTTCCCTCACCAGAGCTGTTGCCAGAGAATTTAATGTTAATTTCTCTACCATAAGCCGCCTCCAACGCCATTTTAGAGAATTTGGCAGTACGTCCAACCGACCTCACTACCGCAGACCACATGTAACCACTCCAGCCCAGGACCTCCACATCCGGCTTCTTCACCTGCGGGATCGTCTGAGACCAGCCACCCGGACAGCTGATGAAACTGAGGAGTATTTCTGTCTGTAATAAAGCCCTTTTGTCGCGAAAAACTCATTCTGATTGGCTGAGCCTGGCTCCCCAGTGGGTGGGTCTGGCTCACAAGTGGGTGGGCCTATGTCCTCCCAGGCGCACCCATGGCTGCGCCCCTGCCCAGTAATGTTAAATCCATAGATTAGGGACTAATGAATTTATTTAAATTGACTGATTTCCTTATATGAACTGTGACTCAGTAAAATCATTGAAATTGTTGCATGTTGCATTTATATTTTTGTTCAGTATATTTATTGGGCTTCATTACAATTCCTGGATGGAGCCTGGCTCTGCTGGCGCTGCTAGCCTAGCTCCTTCTCATCCTGGCATTCTGCTGCTGGTCACACCTCGTTAAGGGCCTGAAGTCATTAGGCCTCCCTCCAGAGAAATACTATTACTATGGAAACTGCACAGAAATATCATAACACATAACATATTGGAGGGCTATTTTTTCCTCCAGTAGTATGGGTATTACTCAGCTTTTATTATTAATTATAATAATAATAATACATAATTCATTACTTTTTGTGCTCCTTCCCTTGTCTATGACAGAGTCTGATGGAGGTGAACTACCTGGGCAGTGTGTATCCCACACGGGCCGTAATCACCACTATGAAGGAGCGGAGGATGGGACGCATCATGTTTGTCTCCTCCCAGGCTGGCCAGATTGGCCTGTTCGGCTACACTGCCTACTCCCCGTCCAAGTTCGCCCTTCGCGGCCTGGCTGAGTCTCTGCAGATGGAAGTGAGCAGTATATAGTTCCTCCTTCTACCCACATTGCAAATCAAATCACATTTTATTTGTCACATGCATCAAATACAACCGGTGTAGACCTTACCGTGAAATGCTTACTTACAAGCCCTTAACCAACAATGCAGTTCAAGAAATAGAGTAAATAAACTAAAGTAATCAAATATATATATATATCAAAAAGTAACACAAGCAAATTACATAACAATAACGAGGCTATATACAGGGGGTACCGGTACTGAGTCAATGTGCGGGGGTACAGGTTAGTCGAGGTAATTTGTAAATTGACTATGCATAGATAATAAACAGCAAGTAGCAGCAGTGTCAAAACAAAGGGAAGGTCAATATAAATAATCCGGGTGACCATTTGATTAATTGTTCAGCAGTCTTATGGCTTGGGGGTAGAAGCTGTTAAGGAGCATTTTGGTCCTAGACTTGGCGCTACGGTACCGCTTGCCGTGCGGTAGCAGAGAAAACGGTCTATGACTTGGGTGACTGGAGTGTTTGACAATTTTTTGGGCCTTCCTCTGACACCGCCTAGTATATAGGTCCTGGATGTCAGGAAGATTGGCCCCAGTGATATACTGGGCCATACGCACTACCCTCTGTAGCGGCTTACGGTCAGATGCCGAGCAGTTGCCATACCAGGCGGTGATGCAACCGGTCAAGATGCTCTCGATGGTGCAGCTGTAGAACTTATTGAGGATCTGGGGACCCATGCAACATTTTTTCAGTCTCCTGAGGGGGAAAAGGTGTTGTCGTGCCCTCTTCACAACTGTCTTGGTGTGTTTGGACCATGATAGTTCGTCGGTGATGTGGACACCAAGGAACTTGAAACTCTCGATCCGCTCTACTTCAGCCCCGTAGGTGTTAATGGGGGCCTGTTCGGCCCTCCTTTTCCTATAGTCCACGATCAGCTCCTTTGTCTTGCTCACGTTGAGGGAGAGGTTGTTGTCCTGGCACCACACTGCCAGGACTCTGACCTCTTCCCTATAGGCGGTCTCATCGTTGTCGGTGATCAGGCCTACCACTGTTGTGTCGTCAGCAAACTTGATGATGGTGTTGGAGTCTTGCTTGGCCATGCAGTCATGGGTGAACAGGGAGTACAGGAGGGGACTAAGCACGCACCCCTGAGGGGCCCCAGTGTTGAGGATCAGCGTGGCATATGTGTTGTTGCCTACCCTTACCACCTGGGGGTGGCCCGTCAGGAAGTCCAGGATCCAGTTGCAGAGGGAGGTGTTTAGTCCCAGGGTCCTTAGCTTAGTGATGAGCTTTGTGGGCACCATGGTGTTGAACGCTGAGCTGTAGTCAATGAACAGCATTTTCACATAGGTGTTCCTTTTGTCCAGGTGGGAAAGGGCAGTGTGGAGTGCGATTGAGATTGCGTCATCTGTGGATCTGTTGGGGCGGTATGCGAATTGGAGTGGGTCTAGGGTTTCCGGCATGATGATGTTGATGTGAGCCATGACCAGCCTTTCAAAGCACTTCATGGCTACCGACGTGAGGACTACAGGGCGGTAATCATTTAGGCAGGTTACCTTCGCTTTCTTGGGCGCAGGGACTATGTTGGTCTGTTTGAAACATATAGGTATTACAGACTCGGTCAGGGAGAGGTTGAAAATGTCAGTGAAGACACTTGCCAGTTGGTCCACGCATGCTTTGAGTACACGTCCTGGTAATCCATCTGGCCCCGCGGCTTTATGAATGTTGACCTGTTTAAAGGTCTTGCTCACATCGGCTACGGAGAGCGTGATCACACAGTCGTCCAGAACAGCTGGTGCTCTCATGCCAAAAGGTACAATTCGCTCCATTTGGATAAGTCTCTTTGGCCTCTTTGTGGCTGATTTAATGTACTCTTTCCTCTACTCCTCACTGCAGATGAAGCCATATAATATCTATGTGACAATTGCCTACCCCCCTGACACTGACACTCCAGGACTAGCAGAGGAGAATAGGACAAAGGTAAGTCTCCTCATGAAAAAGGGGAAAGTTTAAATGTTCTCTTCTTTTGTCTTTTATCTGACGCCTCAAGTTATATTTTCTCCCTTCGTCCTTCCATAGCCTTTAGAGACTAGGCTGATCTCCGAGACATCTGGGGTGACTCAGCCGGAGCAGGTTGCTAAAATCGTGGTCAAGGATGCTGTGGTAAGAGACTGCATTCTCGACAACTGTCCCTATCACATTCACTCTGCTTCAGGCCAACACAATAAGCTTTATCAGTACATCCCTTCCAGTCAGGACCATAGAGAGAATTGCTCTCTAGAAGTGTGATAAAGCAGTTTTTCTGACAGTCATGTCTTTGTGCCCCATACAGCAGGGGAACTTCAACAGCTCTGTGGGGCCTGACGGCTACATGCTCTCAGCTCTCACCTGTGGAATGTCACCTGTCACCTCCATAACAGAGGGCCTCCAGCAGGTAACAACAGTACAGGAATGGTACTGTCACGGTCCCAATACAACACACCCAAAATATTACTCTGTGGTCTTTTGGTAAACGTGTTAACTGAACCTTAACTATCAACTTATCAAAGCAATTTTGTATCTATTACACATCTATTATAACCATAGAGATAGAATTAAGTCATTATATTTATATGATTATAACATAATGTTAATGTGACCTCTGTGCAGATTGTGACCATGGGGCTGTTCCGGACCATTGCTCTGTTCTACCTGGGGAGTTTCGACAGCATTGTGCGTCGCTGTATGATCGAGAGGGAGCAGTCCAAAGCAGTGGACAAGAGGGAGTAACACACCCACCCAACCTCCTCATACACCCCCCACCCCCCACCTCTCCATCCTCCCCGAGTCATAGCCACTGAAAAACCCCACCGAGCCACCGCTCCTCTGGCCCCCCCCTTCTTCCCCTAGAGGGCACAACCCTGGGTATGCCAAATGGCCAGACATCTCATGCACCAGTGATAATATTTAACTAAAGAAGATGGCGGATGTCATTTCCACTTGACCTGTGATGTAACACATAACATTCTTGGCAGCCATTTTGTTTGTCTATTTTTTCATCATTCCAGTGATATTGTTTACTCGTGCGCTGTGAAATGTTTTAATTGTAACTGTCCACTTGATTCTATTGTTTAGTCTGCTTTACTCAAGGGTCTATGAGGGCAGTCTAAACACCACTACTAGCCTGCTGTAGGCCTAGTCAACACCTGACACTTTAGCCTACATTTGGGGCTCCCTGCCCTACTTGTTTTTTCTTCCATGCAGAGAGGAAAGTAAGGGATAGCCAGTCTGACAGGTTATGTCAGCATGTTGACCTGCAATTCCTTTACCAAGAGTCTGAGAAAATACCAACGCAAACAGACCGTTCTGAGTAAGCTAGCTTTATAACCTTAAACTTTATCTTCACCAAATGTGTTCTGTTCCGCCTTCCAAAGCTTTTTTCTTTTGCAGGCAAAGCTTTATTCACTCTGTTTTACCCTGTGCCCCTCCATGTGCTGTCTATGTAGCGTGGTGTTTTGGCCCGTGCTGTGAATGCATTAACTAAACTTAGAGGTTATTTTGCATTACTTAACAGTAATGAGAGAGGGCATAGCAAGAGGGCAATGCAAAAATGTAATTTGCTTCCTGGAAATGATCATCCAAGGCATTTTCAGGTAGAGAGATTGTATGTGCAAGTACAAATGAATTTGTGTGTGCTGTGCATGTAGCCGATTGGAGAGATTTTAATGCAGTGTTGTGTTACAATATGTTTGAATGACTGTACGCTGACCAAGCCTACTCCAGGGAGAGCGAAAAGCCATTGGACACTGGTGGTGGCTGGGAAAAAAGAAGAACCTCCTCTGTAATGTATTCCTCTTATTTGCCTGTCACTTTCATGTCATCTTATTTGTGTTTCTTACCTGAGGTAGAAGCAGCATGTAAAAGGTCAGCATGGGACAGTCATACGATGTAGTACAAGAACAAATCCACTAACAGCTGATGCCAGACTGATCCACTCTTTCCGGTTTTCCTAAGAGGTTGTGGGTCTTTGTGTATGTGTGATCTGTGCACATGTTTTGCCACCTTAGGATTGATGGGGTGGTGTCAGGACAAGGCATGGGGTGTGACTCGCAGGTTCGAGCAAAGTCCCCTTAGGCCTAGAGAGGGCGCCAGAGCTGTATTTTAAATAGAGGCCAAGAGATGAAGAGGGACTGGCAAGCTCATATGGGAGCGCTGTGCTGTTGTATTATCTAATTTGACATTTCATTCACAGTTACTGTGGACGTTTTCCTATATGTTCCTATCTGGTTGTTATTTGTCTCGGTAAGTATTCACAGATTCCTCCTGAAGTCCTCTAAAGTGGGAGAGAAAAATGAAAACGCGAGCTCATGCAAGTCTTCCATCCATCAACTATGGGGAGAATGTACTTAACTTTAATACAAACCATAGGCTACGAAACAGAAAGTATACATTATTTTTAGAAAATCCACCAATATTTGAATGCCAAAATGTATTAAGAGACAATTTCTGTAAATGCAATTCAGCTATTTGAAATTTATTTTGTTTGATGTTGCTTCTCTGTTCTATCCTAGAAATCGTTTGTAATGCAGTCAAGCACTACAATTGTGGGGACCCATTCCAAGCCTTAAGAGATAACTACAGATGATGTTAATGCTAAAATAATCAAATTCATCCACAGAAAAAAACTTGGCTTAAGCCGCTTGTGGTTTACCAGTTCATATGATATGATTTTTCTATGTAAATGCTAACTGTTTTACTGTGGTTTTTTGTTGTTATCAATTCCAGTTGAGTTTTTGTACAAAAAGGCCTTACTCAAACCCAAAATATCGAAGTGAGAATGCATGATTCAACTCTGAGGTTCTCATTTGACATTGGTTCAAGGCACACTGTCACTGTCCAGCAATCAGTAGCTTAAGTTCGGGTGTCTACTTGTCATTTTGTCATCTGTGTACATTTTTAGCTTTCAGACTCACTCTTATCTTGAGGTAGCAACACATTCATGTTGTAGTTGATAGACATTTGGTATAATAAGCTATGTAAATTAAGCCTATGCTCACAATATGTTAAAACACTACAACCAAGTTTTTAAATGCTCTTGTTTTCCCATTCGTTGATGTCGTCCAGAGATATTTAAAATATTATATAGAGTTTATAAGTACAGTACTACTGAATATTATCATGATGCATTCCGCTTCTGTTCCCATCTTATTGGTTGTGTTATGTTTTGTTTTTGCCAAACATGTAAGAATTTAACCTTGTGTGCCATTGAAAAGAAAAATGTAAGGAGTGGAACAATGTTGCTTTGTCTTATTTTCTTACATGATAAAACAAAATAAATAACTTTGGAAAATGGCATTTTCTCATATCTTTTCTTTCTTCTTTCACAATGTGTCCTGTTTTAGTTCTAGGTGGGGGTTTTCCTCCTTCCAATGCCCATCTGGATCTGTTTTAGGTTAAATTATATATTTGTTCTGCACTAAGTAGGCTACTGAACACATTTTGAAAGCTTTTAGGCTTTGTTATTACACTGGTATGGAACCTAACCTATACCGTATGTATAGGTATACTTAGTTCAATGCACTGACTGTAAGTCGGTCTGGATACGACTGTCTGCTAAATCAAGGGTTCCCAAACTTTTTCACTCAGGCCCCGTTCCAGCAATGGGGAACATTCCGCGCCACCCCTGCGCGCATGCATGCGCCATGTCTATTTCTATGGGCACAAGCACTGTTCATGACAAACTGTTCACACCCCTCTTGTTGGCGGAGAGCACATTTTGCAGGTTTAAAGCATATTTCCTGCAATTCTACACATTTTGTCAATTGGTGCAGAGAACATTTTTGCAGTTTTAAAGCTAATTTTGCAATTCTATACATTTTGCCATGTCTAATGTGAATTCTTGTAATATTTGAGTTGACTCAAACAACAAAATCTATGGGCTAAAAAACATTAGCTGACATGGGCTAGTTGAGACACCCGCGCCCACCATGCCGACCCCGGGGGCGCGCCCCACAGTTTGGGAACCACTGTGCTAAATGACCAAAATGTAAAAAATGTATTTGTTTATCTGTGTTTGCTTTGTTTGGATTCTGAGCTTACATTATTCAGTTGCCGAGGGTTGCACAGCCTAGATACATACACAACCTATGGCTACTGTTGATCAATCCTGGCTCCTGTGTTTACAGAAGCTGAGTGGAGTGGATGTTCTGTACCACTCCATACCATTACAGAGTATTTCAGTTTTTATGTACAGTGGGTGCGTGCGGCCAGGTGGTTATTGAGGGGCTACTGTGGGTACTGTGGGTGGATGTGAGGTTTTACATATTCTGTTTGAGTAGTGGACTTTCATCTTCCATGAGGGGACAGCCTGGGCAGTCAGTAGCTATAGTATAGCTCCCTCAGATCAGCATGAAGACTGCATGAAGATTTAGAAGCTGTGTTGCCCTGTCAGAGAATGTGTAGATAGATTTAGACAGAGAGACTGAGCGAGAGATTCACAGACACACTGGAAGAAAGAGCAAAACACAGAACATCCAAATACACGTCCACCAATGAGATGGATGGATGTCCATAAGGGGGCTAGATTAAAACAGTCCCTTTATGAGGAATCAGAATGGTGTAGTCCTGTCTAGTAAGGGTTCAGCAATTATTAATCAGGCAGGGCTTAGGAGAGTAAGATTGAAGATTCTAATTCTTCAAATAAAGCAAGGTTCACCAATTTCTAAAACTTGATCTGAATTGATACTACTGTCCATAATAGTTGAAAAGTCTATTCACCATGATATTTTGAGCCATAAAATCTTAGGGAAAGGTTAGGGTTATGCCAACCTTTTATGCACTAGATAAGAATTCAAGGTCAAAATCCTATCATGCCTATCATGGCATCAATTTCTCAATTGTATTCCAGATCAAACGTAAGTAACCAAATGAGAAGGACATTTAGGCCTACTCCAAACAAACCAACAAGGGATAACTTTAGATGGGTGACGTACAGTGGCGTCATTAGGCCTGGGCTTCCGGGGCTTTTACGTTTCAGTCTGATATGAGTGTCCATAACCCCACATCACTTGAGCTAAAACTAATGTTTTAATGAGAAATGTTAATGACAGAAATACACTGAGTGTACAACATGTTAGAATCACATTTGGCAGCGAGTACAGCTTTGAGTCTTTCTGGGTAAGTCTCTAAGAGCTTTGCACACCTGGATTGTACAATATTTGCACAGTATTCTTAAAAAAATTATTCAAGCTCTGTCAAATTGGTTGTTGATTGCTAGACAACCATTTTCAAGTCTTGCCATAGATTTTCATGCAGATTTAAGTGAAAACTGTAACTCTGCCACTCAGGAACATTCACTGTCTTCTTGGTAAGCAACTCCAGTGTAGATTTGGCCATGTGTTTTAGGTTATTGTCCTGCTGAAAGGTGAGTTCATCTCTCAGTGTCTGGTGGAAAGCAGACTGAACCAGGTTTTCCTCTAGGATTTTGCCTGTGCTTAGCTCTATTCAGTTGTATCATAAAAATAAAAAAAGCATACCCATAGCATGATTCAGCCACCACCATGCTTGAAAATATGAAGAGTGGTACTCAGTGATGTGTTGTGTTGGATTTGCCCCAAAGTTAACGCTTTGTATTCAGTATTTCTTTGCCACTTTTTTTTAGCAGTTTTACTTTAGTGCCTTGTTGCAAACAGGATGCATGTTTTGGAATATTTTTATTATGTACAAGCTTCCTTCTTTTCACTCTGTCATTTAGGTTAGTATTGTGCAGTAACTACAATGTTGTTGATCCATCTTCAGTTTTCTCCTATCACAGCCATTAAACTCTGGAACTATTTTAAAGTCACTATTGGACTCATAGTGAAATC